CACCTTCTCTCCCTTAATTCTTTTAACATTACCTTTTACTTTCACTTTCTGTCTGCATCTAATAGCTCAAGTATGTGCTATAAGGAGATTCCTTAACTTAAATTTTTAAAAATATATTTTTATTGCCGAAACCGGTTTGGCTCAGTGGATAGATAGAACGTCTATGGACTGAAGGGTCCCAGGTTCGATTTCGGTCAAGGGCACAAGCCCTGGTTGTGGGCTCGATCCCCAGTAGGGGGTGTGCAGGAGGCAGCCAATCAATGCTTCTCTCTCATCATTGATGTTTCCATCTCTCTCTCCCTCACCCTTCCTCTCTGAAATCAATAAAAATATTTTTTAAAATAATAATAAATAAAATACACACTAGATTTCAAAGACTTAACAGGAAAAATAGAAAATGTGAAATATTTCATTAATGTTTTTATATTGACTATATGTTGAAAGGATAATATTTTTAATATATTGTGTTAAATAATCTATATATGTAAAAGCCTAAGTGACTGTTATGACCGGCTGGTAGCTATGTCACACACTGACCACCAGGGGCAGATGCTCAATGCAGGAACTGCCCCCTGGTGGTCAGTGCACTCCCACAGCCAACTTCCCACAGCCAGCCAACCTCCCACGGTCCCTCCTCCCCACCGGCCATCCGGCCCAATCAGCTCAAATCAGGGACTGGGTGAGACTGCCCTGATGGTCCCTGATCGCAGGCCAGGCCGAGGGATCCCACCTGTGCACAAATTCATGCACCAGGCCTCTAGTTATTTAAATAATTTAAATAAATTTTAATCCACTTGTTGTTTTTAATGTGGCTACTGAAAAAACATAAATCACATATATGGCTCGAATTGTATTTCCACTGAACAGTACTGCCTTAGGCCATTTGTGAAATCACACACTGTTACGCTGCAGGAACCAGGGAAGAGAATAATGATGGACTTCCCAGAAAAACACTGAACTAGATGTAGGACAGGTTTACCCTTCAAGATCTGATCTTTTTAAGGATAATCTCTGCCTATCTTTTTACAGTCCGTGCGGCCTGCGGAAGCAAGTATCCAGGGTACCTGGAACTCCGATGCGCTGCTCCGCAGCTGGCTCACGTTGGGTAAGGACCCGCCATGGTACTGTGTCAGGCGCAGCTGCTGAAGCTTCTGAAACTGAACCTGGAAACAAAGAGATTTCAAAAACTTTCAGACACACACACAAAAAATAGAGAGAAAAAACCCCAACTCTGAGACCTGACAGCAAAGGTCTCAAGAAAGCACCCAAGTGTGGTGTTTTGTAGAGAAATGGTTCAAGAGTGGGAAGTCTCGGTTTCAATTTCTTCTCTACTCAAAACTGTTAGGTTTCCGGTGCTTTGTGGCTTTTTATTTCTCTATTTTTGGAAAGAATTTACCCATGTTCCACATGTCCTGGGTGCCATGACAGTCCTGTTACAAGACCTGTGAGTGTGTGTGTGTAGGCAAGCAGGCACAATCTTTAACAGTGACCAGGAATTTCTTTTTTTTTTTAATTGATTGATTTCAGAAAGAGAGAGGGGGAGAGAGATAGAAACATCAATGATGAGAGAGAATCACTGATTGGCTGCCTCCTGCACAGCCCCTACTGGGGATCGAGCCCGCAACTTGGGCATGTGCCCTTGGCCGGAATCAAACCTGGGACCCTTTAGTCCACAGGCCGACACTCTATCCACTGAGCCAAGCTGGCCAGGGCAGGGAATTTCGTGAAGAAAAACTAAGCCACTGTCTAGGAGTCTGTGACATTAGCTGTCCTCCCGTCTCCATGTTCTTCTCCAGTCATTCACCCTTATGTATAAAGACTGCATAGTTGTAATCATAATACAGGTACACTCTTGAGCCTTTTCTAGATTACATAATCATATTTCATGGCAACATAACACTTCTTCTGAATCATTTCCATAGGACACATTCCAAAGAGTGATTACTAAGTATCTCTGGGTATGGGCCTTTTAATGGCTCTCAACACATACTGTCAAAATGTTTTCCCAAAAGGTATACCCATGTACATATGAGGGAACAGTTTCACCAAAAACCTCACCAACATTGGTTGGATAGGACCGTGAAAATTGGGGTGAGAAAAGAGGCCGACTGAGCAGGTACAAGATGGCATTCCACTGTTTCAACATGCCTTCTCCTGCCAGCTCTCCCTTGCTTCGTTTTTCAAAAGGCAATAAACCGGTTGCAGTTCTTGTAAACCCCAAAGAGGTCCAATTTGGTTTTTAAGAGTTCTCTTTCTAAAATAATAAATGACCTCTGCGGTTATATAACCCTTGGCACTTATGATTCATGTTGGGAGGAAAGGGTGGATGGGAGCCCCGAGACAGATTCTGGCCCTTTCATTACTCT